TGCTGGATGACCTTGGGGACAGAAGAGGATACTGTCATTTGAAGGAGAAAGCTCTAGATCGCATTAAGTGGAGGAATTGTTTTAGAAGAGACTGTGGACCTGTCGTCAGACAGATTACTGATGATGATGAACCCCGACTTTACAGCCGCATTTTAAGTTTACATACAGACTGATGATGATGATAATGAAGCACTGGTGCTGTGAGAATTCCGATGGGGGACATCCAAAAAATTTGTTTACATACTTGTGTTTAAGCCATTTACAACTATTTTTACTGTCTGCTCTAAATAGCATAGAAATAATTCTTTAAAAAATACTTTTTAATTTCTTTAATACTGGTAATTTCCTGAAAGAAAGAGACCACTAGGAAGGCCAAGACGTAGGTGGGTGGGCAATATTAAAATGGATCTTAGAGGGATAGGATGGGGTGCTATGGACTGGATTCATATGGTTCAGTGGGCTCTTGTGAACATGGTAATGGACCTTCAGGTTCCATAAATTATTGGGAAGTTCTTGAGTAGCTGTACAATTGGCAGCTTCTCAAGGAAGGCTCAGCTTCATGAAGTTGGTCAGTTGGTATATTTTCTGTAATTTCGATTTGTTCTCAGATCCTTCTCTTGTGAGTCCATGCACTCAGGCATAAGAAATCCACATGATTATCGGGGTTAATGACCAAGGTCATGTGGTTGCATGATGACTTAATGCTATTTACTGCTTTTTAAAATCAGTGGAGAGAGTCTTCAGGCCATGGAATGTGGTGAGGTGTATCGTCTATGGCGTCTATGGGTTCACCCAACAGTGCAGCACAATAAATCATGGACGATAAAACTAACGCCGGCTTTTATTGTTTTGAGATTGAAGAGTATTATCACTTACTCCAATCTGTATGTGGCTCATAAGATGTCATATTTCCCATGTGGTTAATAATTCCAGAATTAAAAGCGGTGTCATAAATATTCCTGATAAACAATCCAATAAGATATGCGTGTGATGCTGAAATCCGTACTAAGCATTTAAAATAAGAGTTTAATAAGCACAGTCTTCCACGATTGAAGTCAGCGGCAAAACAACAACAAATCCCCTCTGTGAATGTAACCTGTAGCATGGATCATAGTTCAGCTTTATTGGCAAAGTGTGATTAACCGGGTCACAGTTTAACCCAAGACACGGTTTAGACTTCTTATCTTCTAGAACAAAACAGCTAGTCTTAAGTTCATCGTTTATTTAAATTCCCAGATCCTGTCATATCACATAAATGCTCCGGTCTGCTTCGGCCTTCGAAATCGTCTCATCAATACTCCTCACCCATTGCCTTGACGACTGATCACTTGTGGGCGGTACACTAGCAGGAAATCCTTGTTAATGCCCTTTGTTGAAAATTCTTCGCATTCATACATCTCAGAATTATTATTATTATGCAGGTAGTCGGTCACATTCTTTAAAGGGGGTTCTTCGGTAAGACTTCATACATGTATCCACGCAAGAAGTTAACACAATCGCAGATGTTTCCTATAATTTTTTACTTGCTTCTTTCTTGCTACCATATTTCCTCCATGATAGTTTTTTTTTCGGGCGTTCTATTCGCTGTTTGGTCTTCGCTCTTTTTAACACCTCGGCCCAGGATCAATACCTGCTTCTCTCCCAAGTGGGGCTTACTTTCTTACTTAGTGGATTTCGATTTATTTGCGCTTGATCTACTCAGTTTTTGTCATTGCCTATCTCTTACTATTTCTATGCACTGGGGTTCTTTTACGTTGAATACAGTCTGCTTTCTTTTCAAATGACTTATTCCCATGTTACCTACTCTTGCAATCTTCTCAGCTAACATCTCATCCATATTATTTAGGATGGCGTCAGTCATGATCGGTCATGTTCATTTTGTTCCCCATGAGCAGTTAGTTTCGTTCCAGGCTTAGTAGTTCGTCTTAGTTTATATTTACTGCCTTTATATTACCTTAGGTCTGCAGGTTGTACATAACCGTTCTGGGCCGTCCTTTTTCCTCTGTACCTTTCTGTACCATATTACAATCCTCTTTTTCTATGCCTGCACTCCTCGTGTAACCAGTTTTAACAAATACCCGCTTCGGATGGCGCTGTCTTCCACTTTCCGCATGGTTCCGCATGTACCGCACTGGGAACCCTGGGAACTTTCCACATCATTTTTCGTGGTTGGCATTATGACTGCTCGCACGCCTGTATACGGGCTGGAGGCCCAAATCAGGCGCCATTGACTTGCCAGCCCGTAGATGACATTACGTAGTGAATTCTGTGTAGCAATGTTGGCCCCAATGATAGACTTCGTTAACGAATCTACAGAAGACGCCATCATTATTCCTTTTACTCCGTGCTTTACTGCGTGAAGAGGAAGGTAGATCAATATCCAGTGATTTGTCTGAATATAATACATATTCATTCCTATCAGTCTCTTATAAATTGTTGAAATAATATATATTGAGCTTTGCCATAGTATTTGAGGTGTTTTGGTATTAATTAACTTTGAAATTTCTGTGTGAAATGTCCTACAACACGAGACGACAGACCGGTCAAGGAATGGGTAAGTAAATTGAAAGATTTATGAAATAAAAGAAGTCTGCAAGGTACATTTACATTGTAGACGTTTTGAAGCCCTACAAGTAATGCGGAATGCTGAAAGCACATATTGCTAATAATGTGACCGTGGGGTAAAGCTTGTTATTGCGGCGACTCCATTTTGTAAGAGAGGAAAATTTGTACATGCACAGAATATTAACGCCGGAGTCTGCGGTGTCGGATCTTCAGTCGACGTTCAAGCATCGGTTATGTGACTGATGGTATGCTACTGCCCTAAATATATGTGTGTGTGTTGAAAGAACTGGGTGTTTCTGTAGTAGTAGTATTACAGTATCCTTTATGCAGAAGAGAAACGTATGCATGGTTCCGATGCCATTATCAAATCTCAAAACTGAAATGTAATCTTAAACAATATTTCCAGCGTGGACAATCTGGAGGCGCTAGGTTGGATTCCCTTGCCGTAGGTTTTACACGCCCCCCCCCCCCCTAGGCAAAGCTGGTAGCGCGGTTAGCCACGACCGCTTCCGTTCGAATCCTTTGTAGTTTATCCATTTGACACTAAATAGTCTGCTACTGAGTGTGTTATAAAATATGCCTTAACGAGGAAGAGATTTATAAACTGGCAATTCTCTCTAAGAAGAAAAGCTTTTTGATATTTCACTGCATGTTAGTGTCGTTTCTTCTCTGGGAGTTAACGTTTATTAATACAAAACCAAGGAACGGAAGATTGAGGATAATTAAAGGATGTACTGGAACTACAAGCTTTATAAAATTACATAGACTTTTCATAAAATTGAATTTTTCTGTAGATGACCATTGTCACAACTTCAGAGGTGACTGTTATTTATTAAAAACCACAAGATTGACCTTGCTGGCCATCAGAGGGTACATCACAGAAATTCTGTTGCTGAGTTACCTTTTTCAACCATATTGAAAATATGTATCCAGTTTTTCACTAGGTTTGTGCTATTTTCTATACATTAACAATTTTTATATGCATTACACTGTCTTATCACCAAAATGCAGGGCAAAATCATGACATAAAGATAGGAAACATGTTTTGAAAATGTGGCAATTTGGGAACAACAATAACAGATCAAAACCTGATTCAGGAGGAAATTAAGAGGAGATTGAACTTGGGTAATGCTTGCTACCATTCAGTCCAGAACTTTTTGTCCTCTTGTCTGCTGTCCAAAAACATAAAAATTAGAATATACAAATCTATAATTTTGCCTGTGGTTCTGTATGGGTGTGAAACTTGGTCTCTGACATTAAGGGAGGAACACAGACTGAGGGTGTTTGAGAACAGGGTGTTGAGAATATTTCAACTGAAGAGGGGTAAAGTGACAGGAGGTTGCAGAAAACTGCACAGTGAGGAGCTTCATAACTTGTACCCTTTCCCAAGTATAATTAAGAATGATCAAGTCGAGGATGAGGTGGGCAGGGCGTGTAGCATGAATGGGGGATATGAGGAATGTGTGTAGGATATTGAAATCCATCCATTCTTTCTCATGCACCCTGTGGTATGAAGAAATGGTAGTTAATGCTAATTGATATAATTCTTTTTAAAATAAAATAAAATAAGCTCATATAATAAGATATATATATTTTGTATCTTGCATAGTGAAGTAAACTTTTGATTATCTGGAATTCATTTCCAACCTGCAAACATTTAAAAGAAAATTTACCACTTACAAAAATTACTTGAAACAAATTTGTGTTGTACATACGTTCATCTGCCATGCAGTAGTTCCCCAAGCTCATAATAGCACCTTCATTCATGTACCACAACAGTAGAGGGCAGTTGAACTTGTGAGTTATCAGGTAACCAGCAGACCACATTCCCCATACTTGCCACTTAGTGGAGAGTTTGCAGTACATAATGATACATCATTCTCAGTAAGCCCCTTGCATTAGCCAGATTAAAAACATTTGGAATGGAATATTTTTCTATCTTTTTTTCTGCCAATGGTGACTGTTCACATATGTCTCAATACTGTAGTTAAACCAAAAATAGCTAAATTGATATAACCAGATCCAGCCTTGACATGAAATGCACAAAGTATCCAAGAAAATAATCTCTTTTGTCCACTGATAATAAAATTTTGAGGCAGGTCACACAACCACGAGGGTCGTACTGAAAGTCATGGGCAACAGTTTCTTGTAAAGTAACATGCTTTATTATTGACAAACCAAATACACCACCTCAATCTACAGACCTTTCTTTATTTTCCCACATAATCTCCACTTCTTTGTACACATTTCTCCCAACATTCTGGGAGTTTGAAAATTCCCCTTCTGTAAAATTCCGTTCGAGCAATCAGAAGACACTGACGCACTGCTTTTTGAATTGCCTCCCTTGTCTCAAAACGTTGTCCACGCAGCTGAACCTTCACAAATCTGAAAAGATGGTAGTCTGAGGGTGCCATATAGGAGGGTGTGGAAGAATTTCCCACCCCATCTTTGCAATTGCTTCCAATGTGAGGCGAGTAGTGTGGGGGCGAGCGTTGTCATGCAGGTTGATGATGTTTTGTCCCGGACGTTTATCGCGCAGTGCACGACAGAGCTTGTGCAGCGTCTGTTCATAACGAGCAGCATTGATGGTTTGCCCAGGTTCCAGGAAATCAGCCAGAATAAACCCCTCTGCATCCCAGAAGAGTGTGCTCATCACCTTCACAGCTGATGGCATTGTCATTGCCTTCTTTTTTGATGGAGAATGCAAATGGTGCCATTCCATACTCTGCCGTTTTGTTTCAGGTTTGAAATGGTGAAACCGGCTTTTGTCACCTATCACAATACAGAGCAAAAAATCATCGCCTTCATGTCGATATCTTTGCAGCAGTTCTGAGCTGATGGCTTTTTGCTGACGTTTTTGGTCTTCGGTCAATAATTGCGGGACCCAGCAAGCACAAACTTTCCTATAGCCCAAGCTTTCAATCATCTCCTGTACTGCACTGTGCCCTGTTCCAAGTTTTCACACACCTGTCATCTTGAATGATCTCATCCACTCTTTCCTTGTTGCGTTCAGTTGAGGCTGTTCGAGGATGACCGCTCCGAGGCTCATCTTCGATGCTGGTGTTCCCATCTTTAAAATGTTTCACCCATCTTCGAACAATGCTCACACCCATGCACACACTTCCATAAGCACGCTGAAGACTCTGGTGAATTTCTGCAGCAGGGATTTCCTCTTTCACAAGAAATTTGATGAATGCACACTGGCGAAATGACTTATCGTTGTCGGCCATTTTGTTAGTGATACTGGTCACGTGATGCAAGCTATTGACATCAGAAGACACTCAAGGTTAACACAACAGCTGGTTCCACCTACCACCGTACTCTCTTTCATCTGCTGTTCCGAGGTTGCATGCAAAATAAGTTGCTCATGACTTTTGGTATGACCTACATACTAAACAAGAGTGCATGCCAAAGCTGCTCCAGCTGATAACATCCAATTCCACGGTTGAAAAAATGTCATCTTTGCAATCCGTTCTAATTATATTTCAAGTTATAATGCGAAGGCATAACCCCTTATAGAATCAGATGAAAGGTATATTCCATACCAGATAAAATTTTGCCAAAAGACTGTGGCATTCGAGTTTTCTGTCTGAATGAAACTTTGTGTAACTGTAGGTTTGTATGACATAAGTGAAAGTACAAAGTAGTTTCTCTTTCAACTCATTAGTTTGGAAGACAGAGAATGTCAAGTTTTATGTGATCCTGGCTATTTTCATGTCATCATAGAAGCATTAAATGAGACAAAACATTCTATCACCAAATATACTTGATCTTTAACGGATGCGACTTGTTATGTGTTTTGATCTTCCTGTCAAACACAGCAATATACCGGAGAACTACTTCACATTTTACTGTGCATAACTGAGTTTATTGGTCATAATGTTGCAGCATGTTCCAGCTCGTAGAGCCATCATCAGGTGATACATTAACAAACCTTGTTCTGTTGATTCTTCCTATAAGGATCCATATGTTGTACTTATTGTGTGTTATGGGTTGCGCCATAGCTCAAGCGGTTAGTCGCTGGCTTCCCACCGCGGCGGCCTGGGTTTGAGCCCGCATCTGGTCAAGTGGGATTTGTGGTGGACAGAGTGGTGCTGGGGCAGGTTTTCTCTGATCACTTCGGTTTCCCCTGCAAATCTTCTTTCCACCAAATTCTCCATCATAATCACCGGGGGCAGGTACAATAGGCCAATAAGTGGCTGATGTGCCGAGTGGACCCAGCTGGACTCCATCCTCCACTATATGAATTAAAAAAAAATTGTGTGTTACAATAGGCCGAAAAATATTTGAACATCCAAAAGGCTAGTATAATTAATGTAGTATGTTCTTTGTGTTATTCATTTTGTGTTAATCTGCTGAACAGGGCTCCATTGTGCGTCTTCATGTCTTAAAATGTATAATTATTTATTATAGATATGGAACAGAAGAATTTCCCAAAGCTTAGTGCTGCTGTAATGTGAATTTAATTTCAAATTTTATTTCAGAAGAAAACAAAAAATATTACCAAACACAAATTGGCCACCTTTTTCCAAGCCAGGCTTATTAGAACCTGCCTTACTGACAGAGTAAGAGTTAAAATGTTTACCATGATTTACATGGCCCTAAAGGTATGAAATATTTATTTTTCTCATGCCACAAAAGTTTTACAAGTAGAGATTAAAATAGTGACTACACGAGGACGGGCTAACTCATCCAACTTCTTTTTCGCTGTTGATAAGTGTTCTGCAAGTTGATTGGGTGTCTAATGACCACTGCAGGGCACTTTCTCGGGTTTCGGGTTTAAAAGCCAGTCTTCTGGTGATAGATATGAAGGGTAACTATGGATATGTTGCATGGTCAGCAATCAGCAGGGTGTGATTCTCAAGCATGATGATTGAGGAATGGGGTAGCAGTGTTTAACCATATAAAATTATGTTACAAAGCTTTTTTGGAAGTTTCATTTAGACAGAATCTTTGAAATGACTAGGTGATGTTTGAAAGACACGAGAATTTACAGAGATAGATTTTAAGAGGAACTGGGTAGAGAAATAGTATGATAGTCTTGGGTGAATAGCTTGTAAGGACTGGATGTGGATGGGAGAGAGTGGTCATGAGGTTGGAAGGTGGATGGATTTTAAGGCTGTGATTTGAACAGAGATGCTGGGTGTGGTTGTTGTGAAGATGGAGGTGGAACTGGCTCAGTTATGTCCATTGGTGGGCCCTGGTTATTATACCATCTCTTTCTGCCCCCAAGAGAGTTAGTTGGGTCTAATTGATCTTGGCAGGTATGGGCCGGGGATCTGCTCAGGTCTTGTACCATCAGCAGCAAAGAAATGTTCCGACGAGAATGCAGCAGTCACCTGGGCCAAATGCACCACAGCATGGCTATAACACACAGCAGCCTATTCAAACTGTTACAGCTGGATATGCACCCCAACAGAACTCTCCTGGGTACACAACACAGTCACAGCAGCCATCATCTGGTGGCTCTACCCCACAGGGCTATTCTTCTCAGCAGGTATGTAGTAGTAGTTCTCGTAATTGGTTCATTTTTGCATACGTTCTTGCAATAAGGAAAAAAGTAGGCTTTTTGGGTCATACTTTTTTAATCTCTTGCAGTCAGTAATAAGAACATGGGAGACATAGGAATTTGTGAGGGGAGTGACACTAGTAGCACATAATGGAAGGTCCTTATGTGACACACAGTAAAAGCAAAAATATGCAGTTGGGGGGGGGGAAATGTAATAAACTACATGGCAGTTGTAGCTGGGTAGTTTCTGTACATATTACAGAAAGGCGACCATTTTAACTACTGATGCAATACAACAATACTTCTGCTTCTGCCCAAGACAAAACATTTTTAGGCCAGTCAAGGGTAACATGAGTTTAAAAGCTCTGGGAGTGCATGATGTCCTGTGCAAATATGCCGCCTTTGATCAGAATTCCCTGTTCACCATCCCTGTTGGCCTGGGCCAGGAAGTAGTCCCCTTCCTTCCCACACATCATGGGTTTGTTGAATTCTCTCTCTTCCTGCTTGCTTTGACCATAAAGCTCTAGGTAGCATGTTTCTCTAAAATGTTGGCAACACAACTAACTTCCACGTGGTGAGAGTACTCAAGAGCAGGATCAACATCAACAATGAACCATGAAGCCTAAAACCTGTAAGGAGTAAATTGTAATGCTACAAGAAACTGACACCTAGTTTTCTATGGATTACATGGTCCCAGAACACATACACAGATGTGTGGCTGAGAAATGTTTCTGAAGAAGTTAAGAAGTTGAGCAAACTTAATCATGGAGACACAAGTTACGACCTGTCTGCAGGAGAGGATACAGGCTACACTTGGATCATTTTTGTGCATGCAAGCAAACTATAGTCAGCAGGTAGATAATACCTAGTATTAACAAGTTACAGTTTGTATGGGAAGGACCAATTTGAATGAATTACGAAGATGGCAGAAACTCATTTGTACTCCTGTTAAAATGTTATAGTTGTACCAGGCTTCACAACTGAACAGGAGAAATTGGGTAACTCGCTGTAAAGGAGTCTGAGTCATGTCTCCTGTCATACCACAGATGTCACAGTTCAATGTCGTTTTACTAATTAATTGCTCATAATCATCCACCATTTGACAGTATGTAACTTACTGAGTGGGAAACGCATTGCTAAATAACCAAGGAATCGCTCAATCAGGCCAGGATTGGCAGCTGATGATTTTTTAGTAGCACTATTATGAAAGTGCTGCTGTCAGGGTTTACCGATTGAGTAGCCCATAGTGTGTTCTGAGAAAGAAGTTAACAGACCATTGGCACATCAGCTACGATTTTTGACAAGACTTCTAAAAATTTGTAAATGTTGATTTATCATGAGATGGGTATTGTGATTGGTAGATTCTGAAAAGGCCTGTGATTGCGGGAATTTATATTACCATGTCCAGGGTTTTGGCATTGTGAATGGCTGGAGAAGTTGAACCTTGAGGAAACCTCTCCTGGAGTGTGCTCTGTGAACCGTCTCTTACATTCAACCCATTTTTGACATGTTTCCATTTGCAAGTTTAAACGATGTGCCCTTTGCCTTTGTCATGTGTATTTTTTTTCACATACAACATATAACCATTGAAAGGCTTTGGAAGAAATTTTGTTGGCGCATTTCAGTTTTGCCTAAAACTGTACATTAGTAGTGGATGTTTTACATGAAGAGGTACATGTGTCTGCATGCATCTTGAGTATAGTTCGCTGCATATTCGCTGGATTGAAAAGAGTTTGACAGACATGTTGTAAGGAACCATAAATTTCGCCTTCTATGCCAAGTACACTTTTTCACAAGTCTTGCAGTTTTTAAGGTAATTACATAAAAGGGAGTGAACACACCACAATTATGCTGTGCATACTTTTCCTAACTTATTTCTACATATTTTCACCAGAATTGCCCAGTTTTGCATACTTTAAAGTAGAAAATAAAGCCCATGACATCTATTTAATTTTTGTATTGGTCAAAGGAACCATAACTGGCACGTGGCTGACAGTTTCGTGTCTTTGCAAGCATTTGCTTTTCCTTTACATTTTTCTGTTTGTCCCTCGGACATTGACTGTTCTGTATCATTTATGGATTGTCTTTTGCAATGGATGATGGGCAGATCAGGATTCCATTGTGTTAGTTGGAATGATATTCAGTTTTATTTTTTCTTCCCCATCCCTCCCAACTCCCAGGGTTGAAATAGCTATACATTGGTGCTGAGGATATGCGCTCTGGTAATGGTCTGGTGCTGCAGCAACGAGTGCAGTTGTATACATGGTGTTGCTTCACAGTTGCTTTTAAGGCATTCCAAAAGCCAGACAAATTGATTTTGCTCTTACCAGTCTAGTCTTGGAATAAATGCAGTCTTTCGGGCTAATTGTGGAGCATGAAACTGATATTTTCAACAAAATTAATTTTGTTAATTTCCTTACCCTGTATACTATCCTGCTGTGCTTTATTGAATACCCTTGACCAGTCATGGCAATTCTCATTTTGAAACAAAAAAGCAGCTGAATGCTCCAGATATCAGCTTTTAAAAGGATCTATACCACGAACTGGCGGTCACTCTGAGCACATATTCACTTTTCTGCCAATGTGGAATTGCCTTATCAGCCGCGTGAAGTGACCCTCAAGACGGCGGCGTTTGCGTGCATCTGGTTGGCGTTCTGGCCTGTGCCCGAGTGCAGAATCCTGTGAAGTGTTTGTGTGGGTATATCCCCTGCTGGCTGTCATTACAGTATCAGAGTCAGAATCAGCAACAGTCGCAGATCCCTTCACAGCAGCAGCAGTCGCAAATCCCTTCACAGCAGCAACAGGCCCCACCACCACCACCACAGCTGTAGGCACCATCACCGCAGCAACAGCAACAGCAACAGCCACAGCCACCACCACAGCAGCAACCACCACAGCAACCGCCACAACAACCGCCACAACAATCCCCACAGCTGCAGCTACCACAACAGCAACTGCAGTCAACTCCGGTTGTTGTGAAAACTGAACCCATAACTCCCAAGCCTGCTGGTGTGGGAATGGATATAGAAAGTGAAGCCCCAACAGAAGGGAGTGGAGAAACTGGGAAAGTTAAAAGCTGGCAGCTGAAGAAGAAATTGCCTGGTTGTATGTATGACACATTATATCCAAAATATTGAAGATCATGCATCATAATTTATAATCGTATATAATTAATGTTATGCTTATTGTTTCCAGTCAAAGTAAATAAGAAGGTAAAGAAGCGCCGTCAGAATGCTCGCTTGAGGAAGATTTTGCAGCCTAAAAATGCCATTATGGTTCTCAATGAATTAAAGACTGGCATTAAGTTTACTTTCCAAGAACATACAAATGCCCTAACACAAACAATGTTTGTTGTTAATGCGGAGGTAAGTTTGAATGTGCCAAATTTTAACTCTTATTCAAAAGAATAAATGTAATTGTATTTAGGCGACTGTTCTGTTGTTTTAAGAAATAAATAATAAAGTCCTAACTTGGACCAGAGGCGTGGTAAGGGATCTCTGATGATAAAAGACATTGAACAATTAGCTTAAATTGTGGGCAAAAGGTGGTCAGATTTACTGCTGGAATTATATCTGCTATTACTATATGAGAGGCTTGGAAAATTTCTTTAGTCTGGTATCAGACACTTTTATGAAACATGCTAGATGCATGTGAGAATGCCTCAGAGGGCTATATAATTGCTAGTTGTGTTACTTTATGTAGAGATAGGGACTGGGTAAGTGTGTCAGACCATCACTGTGTGCTTTTACTTACAGGTAGACGGGAAGATCCATACTGGTCAGGGACTTTCCAAGCCATTAGCAAAACAGAATGCTGCTGAAAACGCCCTGAAAGCTCTTCTTCTAGAGAAAATGGCACAGGCTGCAATGAAAGCAGATAGCTCTGAGGGACTTGAGCCCATGCAGGAGGATACAAACAGTGGTACAGGAAGTGCTCCAAATACTGAGGGATCTGATGAGGTGTCAGATACAAGCAAGCCAGAAACCCCAGAGGATGAAGTTCCATGGGGTAATCTGGCATCATTTGCTTTATACAAACTGTTTACGGAATGGCAAAGTCAGGGGACTCACGTGCCCATTCCGAAACAAACAAACGTTTCTCCCAGCAAACAGGTGAGTAGTATGTATCTTGTGTCAGTGGACATACACAGTTCGCTTTTGTTTGCACCTTCACTCCTAGCTGTCTCCAGTCTGCATCTGCTCATGCCACATCATTGTCGGGTCTCTGAGCAGGTCACTGTGACAGTGCGTAAACATGTTTTTACTGTGTGCTGTCATTTTGACTATACTTTTGCAGTATATTCCCTTCATCACCACATAGTTTATACCTTTTTTTAACAAAAGATTTGTCTGAAACTAATGGTGCATAAAATATATGAATACTGCTTTTCATAATTTTTGCACTTTTCTAACTAAAGATTAATGTCTGAAATTGTGGTGTGTGACATGTATTACTTTTCAGAGGATAATTTTATGTGTTAAATTGAGGGTAGGAAAATTATTGCTGCATAATATTCAGGAAAATGTGCATAAAGTGAAAAGAGTGCATGTTTTCCATTCTTTTCTGCTTAAAAAAAACTGTAATTTTAAACCAGCTGTGTACCTCATAATGAATGCCTTGCACTGTAGAAGCGACTAATCCATATATCCAGCAAGCCATACATACTGACATTGCTGAGATTGTGTTTATTGCTGTGGCAGTGTGTGTTACTATGGCAGTAGAAGAGTATTATTAGCCCACTAACTCATCATCTCAGCACCCATATATGCACAGTGACCTGAAATAGGTACATGAATCTATTGTATGTTTTATTTTACTGATCACAGTGGAGTCGAGAAAGAGAACATGATTTACAAAGCTGGAAATCTGTTTGAAAATGCTAGATCATATTTTGACAGAAACTGTCATGGTTGCAGAATCTACATATTGATGAAACTAATGTTAATATGTTTAACGTTGGACAATGTATATGATAGATACATATTTTAGTTATTTTAATGTGTGAACATGGCATGCAATGAACTGGTTTGACGTGGATAAGTAAGCACCTGAAGATGGCATTATTATGCCGAAACATGTAGTGCGAGGGAGAGAAGGAGAAAAATGAGTGTATGCACTGCAAGACGGATTAAATAAATCATGGACTTGATGAAACTATTTGTACCTTCAAAGGGAGACTGGTATACAGCTTACTCCTTCATAAGATATCATTTTGATTGATATGGGGTCTCTCCTGGGGGAAAGTTTAAACAATAATAGGACAGCAAATAAATCATTACCTACTCTGTGCTGTATCAGTCACTGCTTAAGATCATCTGGGGTTTGGGGAAACAAAGTAATAACAAAGACCATGGCATTGTGGAAATAGGGCCCATTGGGAATGTAGTTAAGAAATATGTACAGTACAAAAGTAATAAGACTGTGACATCTGCAGTGAGCCCATATATTTGAACAGAGGTAACCACTGATTGTGGTTTGGTTAAAACTCGCAGTGCAGTAGATTACAGGGGCTAAGGCAAAAAATTAGGTAACAGCAGTTAGCCTGAGAGGTAGGGCTAGAAGAAGAATATGTATACCAGCCCGGGGGTCTGCCAGAAATGAATAAACCAAAGAAAGTGACCAAGACAAAGATGTAGAGAACCTACAGACCTTATGGTCCCCAGTCAACAAAATGTCCATGTGGCACCCCACATGGACCTTGCCATGGCCAGAGAAGTTTATGAGAATGAAGTCCAATTCCTGGATGAATACTACAGGAGTATTGTACAGTACCCCAGCAGACAAAGCAGTATGGGGGCTAGGAAAACGGTAGGAAGAGATGGGGAAAGGGACAGGGTTAACAGGAAGGTGGCTGTTCTGTTATGACGAGTCTGGTTACGTATTGGATTGTACCATTTTCTGTAGTAAAAGAATTCACATCGATATGTTGTTGAATGTGGGATAACATAGTGCAGTTGTCACGGCATTGCTTGGAACATACATGGACAGAGGGGGCATGCTGTGGTTAAACTTATGTTTGATTTTCTAAATCACAAGATAAATCCTTGTGGTTCTGTGCAAACAATAAATTACAAAGTGTGAAACTACAAGTAACTCATGCAGACAAATGGTATGGCAACATTCTGACAGTAATGCATGCCTACACTGGCAGAGTAAATCATAAAACTGAAACAATCATCAGACCTCAATGCATATTAGAATACAGTAAAAACATGGTACTGTGGACTGGTCTTATGATTTTTATTATTTTTATTGCTAGTGGGGTGGGACTAAGTCCCTTGTACTGCAGCCACTTCTGGCCTATTGTACCAGCCCCAGATGATAGGTGAGGGTGATTGTGGAGAAATTGGTGGAATGAAGATTGGCAGGAGAAACTGAAGTACTCAGAGAAAACCTGCCCCAGCCCCACTTTGTCCACCACAAATCCCACTTGACCAGACCCAGGATTGAACCCAGGCCGCTGTGGTGGGAAGCCAGCGAGCTTGAGCTATGGCGTGGCCTGATCTGTTATGATACTTTTAAATTCTTTTCAGTTCATGAAGAACTCTAATGGTATAAAAAATTTGCCTTCATGTCATTGACCTTATGTTACAAATTCTCATGCACTATTCATAGTAACGTTATAAAAATATGTAGCACTAGCCCAGTTTCATGAGGAAGTAAATGAACAGGTACTAGAGAAATCTCATACCAAAATCTAAGGGCTATGTAGGCAGACCAACTACTTACCACTTTGCCTTACAACTAAACATGATCCTTCACCAGTACCAACCACAAAAAGAAAAATGCAGCCAGAATCTCTGTAGTTTGTGCCAAGAAAAAAATGAGAAAATCACCTTTTGCAAGTTGACAGTTGAATATTCTGTACAGTTTAAGTTTATTGTTTTTTGGAATGTAATGCTATATCATCTGGTAGATACTAGGATTTCAGAGACGTTAATCCCATCCAAAAGACCACACGGTGTCACATCCCAGGAGATCCAGTAATTTTCATAGTTGTGAGAACCTCATATCTCACATTCTACGATTATAATTTTCAATTCTGACTTATTTTTTAAGACAAGACTGAAAGTTGAGTATTTAGCAAGTACATTTTATATTTTGAGAGCTACTTCAAGAGACCACTTTGTTCATGAGTATTACATTGAGGTCAGTGTAGAAATATTTCTAACGTTTTCACTTAGGTCTTTTTTAGGTCTGAGATATGTAAAAAAAAATGTAATAAAAGTTCTTGCAGAATGGATTTAGGCTAAAAAGTATGCATCCAATAGAATGCATTGTAAAACTTTATTGAAAATAGACTGGAGAAGAAACTAAGAACCTGGGAAATATTGTCATGGAAACTAAGATCCAGGAAATCATTGGCATGGATTAGTGACTAGATGCAGGGTTTAGATGGGTAATTGAATTTATTGGATGCTTATTACTCTCAGGTGCAGGTAATTACATGCCTAGTCTTCACAGTCTACAAGTAACTGCAGCTTATTCCAAGTCTTTCTAGTCTGCTGTATCTTAGCACTTGGTTATGTCCTCCAATAACAAGGTTTCTCTCTAATGTTTCTGTTCTTAGCACCTCCTGTTTTGGCCATTTGGTTGGTAGGGCAAATTGCTGCTGGCCTTTGCCAGAACAGTTCTTGCTGCCAGGCCATACAGGACCCATTTCTGTCAGTTGCATAAACTGCTGCTGGTTTTTGCCATGAGAGTCATTCTTGGTTCTGGGTCCTGTGGTTCTCATCATATTTTTCTTTGTGACGACTCTGGGAGCCGTGCAACTGTGCCACTGTGCCACTCCTCATGCCTGTCCCAGTTAGGTTCTTGATGGCTCTATATACAGCTTTGATGTGGACTGGCTGTTGTAAAGTTAAATTTATTGAGTTGAGTTTCATTACAAACATAGAACTGTGTCCACATAACTTGACTGTTATGTGCATATTCATTGTCATATGTTTGAACAAGCTGTTGCATAGATATGGCTGCCTCTGCGACACTTTATCTCACTCCAGGATTCTGACTTTCAGGCATCATGTCACAATGTGCTAGTGATAATGTTGATAGATGTCAGTGGCATGGTGTGTAATGGAACACTGCAGGCTGTACCTTCAAACAAACTGAACACTTCGCCATTCCGTCACATTAAAAAAATGTAACTGCATTTAGGGTCATAGAGAATCATAGGAGTTAGTGGCCATGTTACAAGTTGAGAATCAGATGTAAGACAAAAGTGACTTATTATCCAGCTTTTGAGTCTACTGTAATTCAGCATACTTACAGTGTACACACCAGCAGTAAACTTTGGATCCCACTGATTGCAAGTTTAGTGTTGCTGTGGGGTGCAAGCCATTTATCCTCTCTTACTTTACCTTTGCTGCTAACCATTGGTGCCCATGTATCTGCCCACAAACTTGGTGAGACCCTGTGCTCATATTTCATAAGTTGAGCAGTTGTAAATGTCTGTGTCCATTTGTTTTGAAGCCTCAGCATGTGTTTTTTAATTGGCCATATACATAGGGGAGAGGTGTAAATTACATAATTAACGATGTACTCATATCTGCTTAGCTAAACAGTTCTGATTATAAGTAGTTGATATTTGATCCCAACCAACTCCAAAATTTCTTGCCTTACAGTGGAGTTGCATAAATTATGCAAGGAATGTGGAAGAAATGTATGTCATAGTTTCCAGAACAAATTTCTTTGATCTCATAATGTACTGGTATTTAAACCAACAGGTTCAGCAGAACTGACATTATAGATAGTTTTATTATTTAAACAAAGCTTTATTCATTCAGTAATGGTTAAAATTGCAGTTAATATTTTTTATATACTTCCATTCCCCAGTACCCATTTTGTAGGAGGCTAGGTGGACCCAGAGCCAGTCTGAATGTTACAAAGGAAAATGTCTCTTGCTCCAGTCAGGAGTCAGACTCTATCTCCTCGGTTGTCCAGCCCATAGCCTAGTTGCTGTAATTACTGAGCTATCCCAGCTTACAGTGTATTTCATATACAGTGGAACCTCACTTAACGAGCACCTCTCATAACGAGTAATTCGCATAACGAGCAAAACAAATGGTAAAGAAATGACTCGCTTAATGAGCGATGTTTCGCATAACGAGTGACGAAAGGGGAAGTCTCGGATTGTGAGCTTGCTACATCACTTTGTGTTTAGCACTAGTTCCGCTAGCATCTTAGTGTCGCTTGTGATCACACATTTTTCCAAACTTGTGTTCAGACATATTATTTGTGATTTTTTGTGTGCAAAGTTTAATAACCCTTGCAAAAATGTCCTCGAAGAAAAAGCCGCAAAAAGACAGCCATAAGAGAATAAAAATAACCGTAGAAATGAAATATAAAATCATTGAAAAGCGAGCACGCGGTGTGAGCGTGGCTGATCTAGCACGCTCATACAATCGGTCTACATCAACGATTTGCACGATTTGGAGTTGCATTGTGTTTCACAGCAAGAAGTTGTGGAGGAGAGTTTGTCAGAGGAGGAGGAGGTAACAGCAAAGCAACAATCTTCTGGCGCAATAAGAGAAATGCTGAAAGCATTGGAAACTGTTGCATCGTACATTGAGAAGCATCACCCTAATAAGGCAGTGGCCATGGCGCTACAAATTTATTTAATGATAATGCTGTGTCACATTTTCACGAAATTTTGAAGCGTCGGCAAAAACAAATGTCTAGACAGCTTTCTGGTAAAAAAGAATTAGATATGTATCATATAATAAACTAATTATTTCGATTTTTTTTTCTGCAAATCGAATTCGCATTCCAGGTTGGTTCATTCCGCATAGAAGAAAAGATGAAGATGATTCACGCTCCTTAACAATGTATATATAATTTTCTTTGAATAAACGTTGTACATAAAATTTTTTGAATATTTTTTCAGCATGGAACGCATTATTGTATTTCGCATTACTAGTAGATTCTGGAACGAATTATGCTCGTTAAGCGAGGTTCCACTGTATTTTATTTATTTATATTTGGCAGACCGGTACTAAAATGGTGTGGCCTTGGTGTGTGTTCAGTATGACATGGACCTATATGTGTGTCATTCACCAAAAACTATACCTATGCAATACTTTTCCAACAGATGGAAAATTTTAATGTCCATTGGTTTTGACCATAATTGTACTAAATTGAGATACATTCTGGAAGGGTGGAAATTTCTTATGGTAATTGTAACTTAGTAAGAAAAGTAATTCGTTGTTTATATTGTGCTGTCACCAGAAGAATTTTTCACAAAATGTGGATTTCACTTTTGATTTGTTATTGGTATTGATATTAGAAATGTTTGTCAATAGATTCAAGCAGCTCCTGCTCCAATGAAGAAGATTCCTGAAAACCCAACCGATCGTCACCCTGTGATGCTGTTGAATCAGATGAGACCAGGAATACAGTTTACAGAGATCTGTCGAGAAGGAACTCCTCCAAACCTCACTTTCACTTTGGGGGTAACTGTGGATGGAAAGTCATATACTGGAGTTGGTTAGTACTTCTTGCAGTAGATTTTGATTATTGGTATAAAGGTAGGTTTGATATTTGTGTCTGAGTAAAGGTAAAGTGGATATTGGTTCTACAGCCATTATACCTCCGGCATATACTGGCATAAAAGTGTTCAACAATCTGCCACAAAGTATTAAAAACTTAGGCAATGATACTAAAAAGTTTGAATCAGAGTTAAAGAATTATCTACATGCTCATTCCTTCTACTCTTTAGATGAATACTTCAATGTAAATAGAGAATGATGTAAAATTAAGTTATATTAATTTTTAAAGCTAAAATTGCCTGTACTTATGTATGTAACCTTTTGACTCGTTCTATATCCAAAGGTACTAACCTGCTTAGGATTTATAGAATGTAAATAAATTCAATTCAATTCAAAGGAGCCCCCATTGTTTACTGGATACGAGTCTTGGAGGGTCCCAAAGCTGGGAATGAAACATTTGCCCCGCCCTCACATGGTTACCTTTTGAATATCAAAGTATATAGAGTAAGACCTCACTGAATCGGACTAATGGGGAACAAAGCCTTGACAAAATTATTGAAGTGCTACTGAAAATATGTTCAGGGAAGCTATAAAATGGACTTCCAACTGTCTTTTTAGGCAAAACACTTTTTTGAAAGCTAGATTGCATATCATAAAATAAATTTACTGGTCATAAAATGTAAAAATATAAATTCTGACAACAGTCTTAAAACATTTTAGGTAACCTCCATACTTAGTATACTGATCATGTTTAAAAAATGAACTTATTTTGGTTTGTGTTCCTCTTTTATACTATTCTTTTACTACATCTTGCTGATCATCAGGGTCGTAATGCACAAAAAAGAAAAGTCTGAAATATTGCAAATTCTGAATTATGAGGTTTCACTGTATAATGCACTTGAAATTATGAACATGTACTCCATCTAACTGGTCTAAATGTAGAGAGATGGCAGGGGTCAGGTATTGTGTGAATACGTTAAAACTTCATGCTGTTTCTTTTCAGCCAAAAACAAGAAGGATGCGAAGAAGGAAGCAGCCAAGGCAGCACTTGCAGGTTCTCTGAATATTTTCTATGAATGAGCCATTGAAAGTGTTGTACTGTCACAGAGTATATGTTGAATGGCGTTTCTTCAAGTAGTAAAAGGGAACTTCTTTTTCTGAATATTTTCATTGCATTTGAGAAGATACTGCTACACATTGAACATCAGCTATCATGCTTATATCCTAATGAGTCTCATTTGACAATTTTGGAATCCATTAAGTAACGAAACTCTCTGTATAACCTTTTATTGCCAATTTTGCGGTTATTTATGAAGGGAAGTGTAAGATGTAACTTTTTTTTTTCTATCATGTGAGAAAACTGGTAGTGTTTTGAGAAATATTTCTTGGCTTTATTTTAGGTGAGAACCTCCATGTAGTTGCGATACTATTAAGAATTGCGCATGGGGAAAGTTTTAGTGCTAGGCTTCTGTATTCAATTCATATTGGTGAGCCTATATGTAGGACTTGGTTTAGAAGCTTTCATTTACTGACTCATTTCCTGCATCTGTACTGCTTTGGAATAAACTACATTATTTTTAAATTTATGTATTTATTCTATTTGGAAAGTGTATGTTAATGACTCCTTATTCTGATACATAGTGTGATATGTAACTTTTTTGTGATAGTGGTTTCCCTTTCAGTAGAATGTAGAGCACATGAATTTGAGAACTGGGAATTTATGTGCAGTCCACACATTTATTGGATGCCTTACACTGTTGAATGCTCGGGCAGTAGATGCAAGAAATGTTCAGACAACATACAGTTCCAATGGAAATTTTATTACCAAGAAGAAGGTACAAGTTAAGGGTTGGGAAAATGTACATATTTAATCCTTCGTGGTGGCATAAAAATGGCCTGCTGTTTTTCTGGCCATTTCAGTTTGTAGCAGTGCCATTTTACTGTCTTTATTTGCCAGCATATGAGGTGGATCCACAAGGCAGTTGATTGAAAATTCATGAATTACCAGTCTCATTTCCTTTGTTGGTAACAGTTCAAAATAGAAATGCTAGCTGCCACTTTCTTCTTGGCTTACTCAAGCCTGAAATGTCAGTGAACTTATCAAGCAACATGGTTGCACCCCAAAAGATAGTGTTGTTCATAATATAAATTCATTATTGGTGAGATTGTTTTTGTAGTGAAGCCAAAATTAGTTTTATAATAATTCTGCCAGAGTTGGGGCAAGAAATTTATGTGCTGTAGGAAAAATTTGAAATAGAATTTTGCATGAATGCCCAGAAATTTGTGCATTTTTTTTAAGATAATCTGGCACAGTATTGTCACTAACCTATGTCAGAGCTTGAATTTGAAGTGAAAAAACTGCAGAGTAATGCATACGACAGTGAACATTTTCGGAAACTTAATTTTCTAATAGATACTGCACCGGATTCAGAAAACAAACCACTGGCTTTTTCACTTGTTTCTCTCTTAAAATGTGCACATAATGGCACAGCTATAATACAGAACAATTTCTAATCATTATTTGTAGGCCTGTTTGCTAGTATTATGTTGACTGAAGAGGATTCTGAATAGGATCCATTGTCCTTATGTAAAAGTTTGCTCATATATGGTGTGGCATATAGCAACAGGCTCCAAGCTGCAATCAGAATAAGTGGAAAATTTGAGGGTTTTAAACATGGTCTTAACATTCCTTCTTGCCATAAGTGACATACTGATGCCATTTTAAGAAGCTGTCTGATCAGGCCTGTGTTCTGAGGCTGTGGATTAGTGAAACCACTGAAAGGAGAGAGGGGCTATTCTTAGTCCCAGATTTGCACACAGTTGCTTTCAGAGTAATTTTTATAAATAGAAGTAAGAAGATTTCCATTGACAAATGTGTGTTGCTTATTAATATTTTCCAAAAATCCTGTATGTGCAGACAGCAGGAGTCTGCATGAGTAAAAATTGCACAAAATAAGGGGCTAATTTAATCTTCCCATCACTTTAACAAAGTGTAAGAAAATGGAAAAAGGTAAAGCTATCTGAAGGCCCATAGGGTTGTGAGATGTCTAGGCTCCCACATTTTCTAGACAATAGGCTCACATGGTAAGGTTGTCAGCCTTACATGCCAACCACCCTTTATTCCCCAGGAAGATTCCTGGGACTCATTTCTGCTAGAGGCTGAGTCAACCCCAGGGCCACAGTGCGGCTGGAAAGTTTAGATCAATTTAAAAGAATCCAGTGACCTCATTGGGAATTGAGCCTGTGACCTTCCAGCTTGTAGCATAGTAAATTAATTAAATTCCAACCTCACTGACAAACAGAAAAATGTATTAAATTCTTTGGGTATGCTAGGTATTTAACACACAAAAGAACAAAATGCCTATCCATTCCAACCTGCAATGAACTAATGATATGTTACCTTCACACAGTCAAAATACTACCATGGCCTTTTAATATACTTATAACTTGGTAAGTTATACCTCAGAAACTTAAAGTATGTTTTTGTTGAACAGGTGGGTATAAATATTTTGAGGTCCAGAGATGGGGACTAGCTCTATCAATTGGGCCCAACTAAATAGGCTTTTACCTGAACATGGAGATAGAACACTATATCTGAAACTGTTTTAAATAAAAACAGGTTGATGGATAATATCCAAAAATACAATAATTATATAAATTTTTGCCTAATTCCACAAAATAAATTGTTGAAAATATATATACTAAGTTTAATCATTACAAAAAATAAGATTTCATAATACCCAAATTACTAATCAGCAAGAATTCAACAATAAAGAAATTACACAAAACAAAGAGCCAGTCCTCCCAGGGAATAACCAAATCTTCAAAATTTGGTTGGTGTTGCTTTCTTTTATTAGAACAGGGTTTTAGGTTATGTTCATGTTTTTAAGCATCTGGAGAACAGGTGATGAAGTTGCTTTGAATGTGAGCCCAGTAGAACTTACAGTGTAAGCCCTCCTTGATATTGGTTCATAGAGCTGACTGGGGATTTCACTGTACATGTAAGGATCAGGCATAATTTTGTCTGTACCAAACTGTGGTATGACTTGTATGAAATTCGAGTGAAAATTTAGATTGTGGTCCTCTGGATTATGATGCCATGTAGTTCTGTAGTTATTTACCAGTGTTTCAGAGTATCCTGGTGTTTCCAATTTCAGGGCAGAATGAAGATGGGGATAGCATGTTCCTCAAAAATAGTTGTAATTGCCTACAAGACAAGACAGCATCGTAACTCAGATGACCACGCTCAGGATTAATCAGTTTTTGGATCTTGTCCATTTTCTGATATTCTAAAGGACATGACATTTCTGAAACTGGATATGTTTGTGTCTTCAGATGAAAGGGTGGGAGGTAGCTAGTTACTTTGTTGATTCAGTTGAAAAGAAGTAGCTTGTCACTGTGATTGAGAATAGCTCTTTTGAACAGAACCAGCAGAGTAGGTGTCTCATCCTTTCACCTAAGGACAGACAGATCTAATTTCCATAATGCTGTGTTCTGTAGGATACCAGACAATGGGCAGAGTCCAAAAAGTAATCCTGAGTTTTATGTACCATCATTAGGACCATTTAGAATTGGCAGATGACCACAACCTTATCAACTGTACTTTATTGAGTATCAAAGTCTGTAACATTTCATCTTAAGCAGTTCATCATTTGACTACAAATAAATTAGTATGTTAGAACCATAAATTTTTGGTCATGTTTTACGGTCTTGATGTTTTAACAGTAATAAATGCAAGCTATTCTGTTAAGTGTTCAGAAATGATTACACTTGACATATGCCTGCCACTTTGTTTTTATGTAGTTAGAAATTGACTGTTTAAGTGTCCATTTCTGTATGAAGACCAAATACATACTATGGCTTTCTCTGAGGCTTGATTAAACTGTGATTAGTATTTCATATCGTGTACTGTTTCATTTTCATTAATAAAAGTGTGAATCATGTACAATTTACCAACCATAACAATGTATAATTCTTTTGTGTTTCTGAAAGGTTATTCATTTCACATATATTACCTTACAAAAATTCTACACACAGAGCAGTCTCAACATTAAAAACAAGCAGAACTGAGGTGTCTGATGATGTTAGTTGTAACTCTAAATGTTGATGCATCTCGAGACAAATATAATTTTATTTACTTAAAGCAACAAGAATGAACATGGTACAATGCTGAATTATAGAGCATTTAAAAAAGGAAATAATTCAGATTCAGTTTGGATGGATGTATTGAAGAAGAATGGCAGTGAATCAGTCTTCATTTACAAGTATTTTCACCGTTAATTAAGTCTGGAAAAGAAAAACCTTTCACTCTTGAAGTTTTAAAATATATATACCAAAAACAATTTCATTTAACTTTTTGATTTTTGCTAGACTTGTTGAGTGAGATGTTATAATCTGGAAGATGTGTAGCATATTAGACTCCAATAAATCAAAATTACTGGAATTGGGGTGGCAATGTGTTGGAAGGTTTCCAGGAGAGTGAATAATAATAATAACTCAGTCCATTTACTTCATCTTGAATTAAAGAGTTGCCAAGATAAACTCACTCTTGAAGTTCTAGAGTATAAATATTTTTTACCAAGGATTCCAGTTTCATTTCACCCACTACTTCTTGCAAGACTTGTTCAACAATATGGTCTGACAATCTGGAAGATACGTAATATATTAGACACTAATAAAGTTATTGCAATAGGATGGGTGGGTTGGTGGTGGTTCTTTGATTTGGAATACAGTGATTATGGTGGTAATGTACTGTGCATGGGGAAGGTCAGGAAAAGAAAATACTGTTTAGGGTTTTCCTTATTTTATCCTTAGGTTATTTAATTATGCCATTCTAACTGCAGGTGTAAAAGCATTCAGTGAGATTGTGAGTAAGAAAGGATTCTGAAGGTGATCATGGCCTTCATCTGGTGAGGCAGGAAAGAAAGGAAGACCTCAGAAGAGCCAATAATATAATAGACATTTAAACTGAGCATACTTTAAATATAAGACTAGATAGAACAGGGTATTTTTATATATGATCACATGTCAAAGCCTGTAATAACAATTCTGTAGTTACAATGCTATCCATTACATGCAGTCTTAAACTGTGGCATTATAAAGATTTTTAAATGCACTGAATTAAATCAGCAGTGGGCCCAAATTTTATTTTCCATACCCAGTCTCAGGTGTGGTAAATTAGAATATACCCATAATAGGCATATCAAAATATCTGCGTGGAAGTTCTGGTTTTTAGCCTACTTTACTTATTTTCAGAAAATAAAAAGTAGGCTTATGAGATCACCAGGCTGTCTGTGTATTCCCTACCAGCCTTCAAATGCTAGAACCAATCTATGAAACTTAGTACTGTATGTATATCATGGCACCTGAGCCCATCTCAGCAGCATACTTCATAAATCCCTCCCATTAGTCTGTGGCTGTATGTTTAATGTTTCTTGGTAATGACTCAGTGAAACCAATAGCAGGGCAAAGAATACACATGCAACTATAGAAGAATTGTTGGATGCATCATGGTCAATGATGTATCAAAGTAAAGTAGGCAACTGGTTCTTCCCAAAACTTGTTATTTTCTGATTACAACAGTGAATAGCTGTATAAGAAAGGTAACAAACAAAAGGTGTACTGAATAATTAACCTCCTCAAGCTGAACAATTAAATGGATTAAGTGTGGTTTGGTGTGAACTGCTTTGGAACAGATTTTAAGACTAAGGCCACTTTAGTGTTGACACCAGTAAATGGGTCTTTTCTGGTCTCATGTATACACTTGCTTTGTTCAATTTTTGGTGGACACAAGTTGCACAGTGAAATACCTGTTAGAGCCATTCTGGCAGAGGATTTATGGAGGGCATGCCAGCATTTGCTGTATTCCATAGCTTTTGCTTCAGTGTTTGAACTAGTGACTCATCTTTTTTGTACACTATGGTGTGTACCGCTACACTGAAAATTTAATTGAACAATTTTATATACCATTTAACCCCCCTTTCTCTTTTGAACAGTTCTGGTTCTGATTTTTATATCTTTGACTTCTACCCCTCCTGTAGCCTGGTTGCAGTCCATAAGACATCAGTTTTATCAGTTCATTTCAGGATTGATACCATACAATTATGCTGTTAAAGTTTGCCTGTACAGTTTTAATTCCTGTGCTGGAATCTTTCTACTTAGCCTACGTGTATTACATTTACTCCATTTCTTTTTAGCAACAAGGCTAAATATGCAAAATTACAATATTTAACCCATACACAGTGATTATCTCTTGTGAAGGGCTCAGGAAGCCTGACTGCAATTTTCAGACTCAGTATAGCTAATAACGAAGCTTGTTAAGCAGTTTCCACCACCCACATTCACAGCAGATCTCCACACACAATGTGTACTTGACTCAAATTTCAAACATTTTTATGCACATCTGCTGCACCGAGGGGTTTATTCTTGTATGCATAGCCTGCCTTTGCACAATAATAAAAATTCATCTATGCAAATATCTTCTGGGAAACTGCCATCTGAAATCTCTTTTCAGAATTGCCGAGCATGGGGTGCTGTCTGTGTGTGTACACGTGCATTGTATCTAAGCAGCACGGCTGAACTCCCACAATTTGCTTACATGCTTACCGAAATACCCCTTTGAGTGCTAAGGATGTGTTCCTTCATGTGTTCAAACCTATCTACTGCAGTGGTTTTGGTGAAAATAGGTTTCTTAGAAGGGTTTCTGCTGAAACATGATTTGATGACAAGTTTCTGTATGATGCCCATCAACATTAGAAGTTCAAAAACAACGTACAGTCTGACTCCTGTGACAACTCTTCAGTTGTGCATTATTGATATATGTTTGGTTTGTAACTATGAGTGGAAGAAGCAGCATAATTCCAATCACAATTATGTCCATTACTACTTCATAAAACGAGCAACGTTTTGAACATGGAATGTGTCATTTTTGTATGTTCATTTTAATCAGCAAACTGTATTTTTGTTGCTTTGCATGTCTAATCAACATTATGCCATGTCCCCCTGTTTGGAGTTGATTGCAACAGGTGCGTCTTTGTATGTGTAACTGGTGCTTCATGCCGAGCCTTTTCCAGTTGTGATAGTTATCACTTTATTGCATGCCAGTTTTACTCCTCTCACACAAAATATCTGTAACAAGTTTAACCAAAACTCTCTTGTTTCTTGAATGGCCAGACATGTTGAAAAGATTAATGGAGGATTGAAACAAAAAGCATCATCCTATTAGTTCTACTAACAAAGTATTCACACAGTCCACAAGATGAGCTTTGAACCATGAGAAAAATATACTCTGCATCAATTGGTTCATTGGTCTGGTCTGACAGCTTATGTAATGTGTGTATACATAAATTTTACAGCCCAGGCAGAAGTGGTGTGTTAAATCTGAACATTCCAGTAATTAAGATATGCAAATATTGCCACAGGCCAGTATGTTATCTTTTGGCTACAGTTAGCCAACCTTTGGCTTAATGTCTAGCATTTGTTTTCAACCTTCTGATTCATGAACCAGTAAAATAGCAGGACCAGCACCCTGTGATGTGACATTGTACAGTCTAATTACATCTAATCAAAATACAAAAATTAAACACCTTGATAATTGAAGAGACAACTAAAAAATACTCATGGTGGCACTGTTATCTGGCAGACTAGAATATCAGGTAAAATGCAGGAGTAGCATGAAATTGTAGTGAAGTTATGTTAGAATTCAGATTTTAATTTTTTTTAAGAGAACCAAAGTAGTAAACTGTATAATTTGAAGGTTAAGTACCATGAACTAGAAGACCTATGCAGCCCTTAGAAAAGTCTCTAAATGCAGAACAATGACCATGCTAGCCAGCAATATAGAAAAGCAGCTGAATTGCCAAAAAGGGACTGGGACACGATTGTGAATCCGTGAGGCAGGGGGACTTCTATCAGCTCGCCTCAAGGAGGCAGACACTGCCAAGTTGGTGGAAATATGTCATATTCAGTGTTGCTGAAGGTAAATGCATAAGGGCTTGCTTGTCATATTAATGGAATGTTGCTAAAAAAGGGACAACCTTGATTAGGAGAGATAGAAAATGAGAATGGTTATGTGAAGCATAGGTAAATGTGTAGGTAACCAGCCTTTTACTCCAAAAACCTTATTCCATCTCCTGCGCATTCCAAGGAGAGGAGGAAGTATTGAGGTACCTTAAGATCACATTAAGTAGCACAGTTGATAGTCAGCTTGGTGGCAGACTACCAGAAGAGAGCCATTTTAGAGTAGTAGTGGCAGAATTGAAATTTGTGGTTCCAGTGACTTGCAGTAGCTGTGACGACGACAACAACAACAACAACAATAATGGATAACATATGGCCACGTTACTACATGCACAGAAAAGAATTTAAGCTGTCAGAAACTTTTCATTAGTATATATTGGGGGGAGGGGAAACCCTACTGACTTGTATAGTGACAGGTAAAAATAAAGTTGTCCTCTGCTTAACTAAATGACCACCACTGAATGAAGTTGTATGGGAGAAGGAATTATAGCTCCAAACATCCTTAACCCTGGCACTAGATGGAGGTGAGTGATGAGCTTCACACACTAACTACTTTACCCTTGAAGAAAAAGCTCCTGACATATATTGGATATGAGACTAGATGAGCCCCAGAGCCAGTTTGGACAGTGGAGGAGAGAAAAAACTTTTGCCTCAGCTGGGAATTGGACCCAAGTTCACTGGCCATCTAGCCCATAGTTCATTGTTATACCAACTGAGGTATCTTAGCTCCTGTATAGGAACAGACTGCAAAAACTGTAATGTATAACACAGCAAATCCACTCACTAAAAGTAAAAGACATGTAAAAAATTCAAAGTTATGCTTTGTGTCTTCCCAGCTTGGGTAGTGTGTGTGTGCATGTGTGAAAGTCACCACACTAATATACCCTTAAAACAATAATTACCTGCCAATCGTGATCCATGGTGGTGCAGTACCTTTATACATGGGATTAGACTTCAGGTAGCAGTGGAATTTCTGATGATAATCCATGGCAGACAGTATGTCTTTCTTGGGCAAAGACAGCAGTGGACTTTGCACTCTACTCCCACGTTGATTTCTTCCTACACACACTTTCATATTTTTAGTAGCTGTAGATGCCTTTCTAAAAGATTCCATAGAATGGTCTAGTTCAGGTGAATCCTTTGATCTGGGCTGATGGCATATATTGACAGAATTTAAGGTCACATTTTGCTTCAACTTGAAACATCCTTTGCTAGTGTGGTAAGATGTTTTCTGCATAGGGGATCTTGATTTATGCTTAGAGTTTCCATTTTGGACACCAGTATCACAGTTTCCAGGGATGAGTGTGATTTTGCTTTCTTTGTTAGCTGAAGGACCCAACAATGCATCATGTGAAATAGTATCATCTGGTGGTAAGTAGATCAGTTGGGCATTATGTGGCCCTATTTTGGTGACTCTGTAATAAAATTGTACAATCTCAGATCTCCTAAAATAAGAAAGACCATAAATGCACAAGAAGCACCCACATAGATTTTAACATATGATCAGAGCCTTTTACATATTATTTACATGAAGGGAACATGTAGGAGAGATTGTGTTGTCTGCATGTACAGAGTTTATAATAGGACCGTAAACAGAGGGTTTCTCTCGCTCTTGGTCAGCATCAGATATATTTCATTTTGAACTAATGATATTTCCTATTGTTCATGTAACATAAAATCCAGAAATATATAAATATAAAGAAGTGTCACTATGCACTTAAAACATAAGCTCAACATGGTGATCCTGAAGCCTCTATATGAGAGACAGATTTTGGCCTCAGGGATGAGTGAGACTGAGGTGTGGGATGTGGGACAGGTCCTCTTTGTAAAGAAATGTTGTACATAAATAGTCCATAAGAATGAAAACCATGTGTATTATCTTGAAGACCCATAAAAGATGTAATGTTTCTTAGAAATAAAAATTCTTTATGAAAATGTGTGTCTTTTCACTTACCGTCTTTCATCCTTTGCATGTGTAGTGTGCAGACTGTTGTCACTTTTACTCTGCTGCAGTGGCTGTGAGGCAGTGTTTTTGACCTGATATGAAAGTGACTGCATGTCATCCACAAATGCTGAAGACTGCCCATCTGACTGTTTTACATTTTCTTGATCCCTCTGAAGAAAAAGTGTTTTCACTATTTAGTTCAGTGTAGTCAACTCCATGCATGAGGGAAAGGAAAACTGCAGACAAACGTTTGATTGAAGAATCTTGAAAGACCACTAGGGAAAGCTAGATACAGATGAGAGGATAATACTAAAATGGATCTTAGGGAACTGGGTTGTGGGGATGTGATTTGGATTAAACTTGGTTCAATGATGGGCACCTCTGATGAGACAATATTCAGGTTTCATTGTACATGGAACATCTTCAACAGTAACTGGTTATTCTTGAGGACATGTTCTAGAGTTGGAGATATGTTTTCAGAAAGAAGCCTAAAAATAAATATGACTTATTACAGGATCATATAGTGACTTTCAAAAAGCACTTTCTGTCCAGTGAATATTTGAGGCCACTTTCTTGGTGATGAAGCAACTCTATGTGAAGCTAACAACTCACCTCCTCATATTTGATGTTCAGGCTTAGGGGCCACTTAAGCCTCATTTTCTTAGTACTTTCCTTCATAAATTTTACATAGAGTTCATGCCAGTATGTATAGGGAGCCCATTTAAGAAGTCTTGCATGAAGTTTTAAATTTGGTAAATTTTTAATTACATTTAAATATCCTTTTGAGCTTTCACAAATCACCAAGTTTAGTTTATTACCATTAATTTACAAATAACTACCATTGGTAGTAAAGCCCGATGGTTCAACGCCACCAACTCCATCCACTGTCTATCATCACAGCCTACTTTCTTGATCTCCATTGTAACATTATCCTCACATACTTTCCTCAGTCTTCCAAACAGCTGCTTTCCAAGAGATTTCTCTGTGATAGTCAGCAAGTCCAAATATTTTGAATACTTCTTCTGTATCTGTTGACTTTTTATCCTACTAATATACTTATAAGCAGATTGTTTGCATTTTTTTTGTAAAAGATTGATTTTTAAATATTTTTGATATAAAAATATTTAATTTTTTCACGACTTCATGCAAAAAAAATACGTTCACAAACAACAGTATTACTACTGATATAAATTTTATACATCTATAATGTCTAGTTTCTGAGATACGGCACCTATGTCTATGAAAAAAGTATGTTGTAGGAATATGGGTGAAAAGATAAAGGCTATTTTAATGCAAGGAGATGAAAATGAAAGCCAGTTAACAGTGCGGTTTTTGCAGAAATTCCTCTACTCAATGGACAAATCTCCTTGAGCTTCTGGAATTATAAAATAACCAATATTCGTTGCTGGAAGATGTATAATTGAAATATGGGTGTGCCATCAGCTGTCACTTGACATTTAATTAAATCGACTTTGAATGCCATTGTATGAGGCTTAAGTAGAAAGAATATTGTGATCTGATGCCTGACAGTCGGAATACCAAAGCCAGAGGAATGTAATGGCTCAGTAAACACATTCCCATGGCAATTATCTGACCAACAATTGGCTAGAGAGGAGTTGAGGCAGAAAAATATGGGTCATGGGCCCTGAAACCAAGATGATGGTGCTGACAAGAGCAAACAGAAATTTACCAGTCAGGCAGAAAAATATGGTCAAGGGTCCACTGGGGCTGGAACCAGGAGTGATTATGCTGGTGAAGGTCAATATCAATTTTCCTGAAGCTGTGAGTAGAACTCATAGTTGGTCAGTCATCATAGGCAGACAAATCTCCACTGTTAGAAGCTGATTCCAAGCAATGACCAGTGAAGATATAACAGAATAAGAAGATTTAGTGTGTGCTATAGTGATTTGCAGAGTGTGTAGTTCCAAGTCATAAAAGTTCAATAAATCTAGTTACAAATCCAATCCCCATGTCTAGTCACTACTCATTACTCATGGAGCTGAGCCCTTCCGGAGGAGCCGCCAATTCTGCAGCTACTCAAGAATTCCCCAGCATGTTATGGAACCCGAACGTTCATTACCATGTTCACAAGAACCCTCCACTGGTCCCTATCCTAAGCCAGATCAATCGAATCCATACCATACCATCCCATCCTATCTCTCTAAGATCCATTCTAATATTGTCCACCCACCTACACCTTGGTCTTCCCCGTGGTCTCTTTCCTTCTGGCTTTCCCACCAATATCCTGTATGCATTCCTTGTCTCCCCCATTGGTGCTACATGCCCTGCCCACCTCATCCTCCTTGACTTGATCATTCTAATTATACTTGGAGAAGAGTACAAGTTATGAAGCTCCTCATTATGCAGTTTTCTCCCACTTCCTGTCACTTCATCTCTCTTCAGTCCAAATATTCTCCTCAACACCCTGTTTTCAAACACCCTCAGTCTATGTTCCTCCCTTAATGTCAGAGACCAAGTTTCACACCCATACAGAACCACAGGCAAATTTATAGTTTTGTATATTCTAATTTTTATGTTTTTGGACAACAGACGAGAAGACAAAAGGTTCTGGACTGAATGGTAGCAAGCATTATCAGAGTTCAATCTGCTCTTAATTTCTTCCTGAATCAGGTTTTGATCTGTTATCGTTGTTCCCAAATATCTGAACTGTGCCACATTTTCAAAACATCTGTTTCCTGTCTTTATGTCATGATTTTTCCCTGCATTATGGTGACAAGACAGCAACATATACTTAGTTTTCTCTGTGTTTACTTCTAGACCAACCTCTTTATTTGTGTCAATTAAAGTTTGTGTGTTTTTCTTTATGGTATCTACATTATCACCCAGTAGTTTCACATCATTGGCTAGGCCAACAGCTGATGTGTCCTGTTTAATTTCAGTCCCACCTGGTTTCCCTGGCCCTTCCTAATGGCATATTCTAAAGCAAAGTTGAAAAGGAGTAGCGGTAAAGCATCTCCTTGTTTTAGACCATTTTGGATAGGAAATTTATCAGACAAATGTTTATCTACACAGACTTTACTATATGTTTCGTTTAAACACATTTTAATCAACCTAACTAGTTTCATGGGTATCCCAAACTCTATTAGAATATTGTACAATACTACCCTCCTAACTGAATCATAGGCTTTCTTGAAGTCTATGAAAAGCTGATGTACTGTCTCATCGTACTCCCATTTTTTCTCCAATATCTGACGAATGCAAAAGATCTGATCTGCAGTTGATCTGTTACGTCGAAACCCACACTGATGATCCCCAATAATTTCATCTATATATGGACTTAATCTTGAGAGAAGAATATTGGACAAATTTTGTATGAAGTTGATAGCAGTGATATCTCCCAATAATTACAATATTATATTACAGTAAATCAGACTGTTAACAATCAAAATTAACAGAAATCACAATTGATATTTTGATACACCATCCCACCACCTCCCCCGAAGCTTACAAATATAATGGCAAACACAGAGTTTACACTACAAAATAGTATTCATTAATTACAATACTGATACTCACAAAAGTGCTTCTGAAACTTATTTAATGGGCATAAATTAAGGCGGTTAGGTGGAGAAGCAGAAATGTCTAGGATGCTTTCTGTAATTCTTGATTATTAGCTATAATTTATGAGACCATGGAAGTTGAACTTTGTAATTTAGCAGCCTCTGTTTTCATTTTATGAACTCATAAGGAAGGGAGCAGAACAAACTGTGTACATGTAAACACACAGCACATTAATGGAGGAAAGGTTCCTAAGAATGAAAACTGCACACTTATATGACATGAGCACTGGTTTGAAACAAATAAAAGTGAAACCCCTTTGCTGATCCAAACTGATGATAGGGTTTGTGATAATGGGTTCCGTAAGAACATGAAGTTTTGACAGATGTCTTTGGGAAAATGTGGGATCCACTCAGCTTCCTAACCAGTGGATACAAGGGGCCTTCTCTCTGGGAGTAAAGTTGCATTAGCAAGAATCTAACCACCTCCTTCTACTGTCAAGTGCTCAGGCACAGGGGAAAGTTTACTTTACCTTTACATTATCTTCTTACCTCAGCTTTTAAGTTATCTATAAGATTTCTTAACACAGATCCCAGTTTCTTCTGGAACTCTTCTTCACAGATTTCTAGAAGTTTATTGGGCGGATGTCTCATGTCCATGGCTGATGAAGACTCACATGGCATCTTCAATTCAGATTCACATTTCACAGAAGGTGATGGCTTATCCTTGAGTTTCATATCAGAAATTGATTGAGTGGTTGTTAGTTTGTATATTTTGAATGTGTGAGTGGTGCATAAAATGGTACATGAATGGTATAAAAAAAGTAGTTCAAAGAAAATCCATCACAAATTCCACATGGAGCTAACACAATTAAATCAACATGCTCTTGGTGAGAGGTCAGAATATTAGCCACAGTACCAACTCTGGAAATTCAAAACTCATTTATGTTTCTTTTATTTTCAGTAATTGGCAGTTCATGTATATCCATTAGTTTTTCCTGTCCATTCATTCTTGATGATTGCCATGTAGCCAAATGTGGTAATTAGTTTTTACAAAAATTCATCAGGCAACCAGAGTTTCAGGACAAAACTGGACAACATGTCTTGTTACAAGAAAGCTCAAAAAATTAATTTTAGACCTTTAATTTAACATAATGAAGAAGAAACTACTGTAAACAATTCCTGATGAAACCATAAAATATATGTCACCATTCACTAACCTCAGTATTAACTTTCGAAATGGGAAACCTTGTATGATGCCTCCTAAATATGGCAGAGCTGCATTTTTTGGCAGGAGAACCATACACTGCCCTGGCAAGCTTGGTAGCAGACTCTTTCCAGGAAATTATTTTGCTAACTGAACATCCTCCTGAAATCACAGAAACTCTTGTCTGCTCTGGCTCTCGTAAACTGCTTTCCCATTCTCTCTGACCAGTTGTAGTCATGACACTGACAGCTACATCATGAGATGCAGGCAGATCAGATTCATTGATGGAGTGTTTACTGTTGATCAGCTGCAGGAGTGCTTTGCATTTCTTTTCAATATGCTGTGGAAAGAAAAAAAAATATTAAACAACATAAACAATGAAACAGGAATTCAAGGAATGCAATGAGATTGTTCCAACTTCTTTATATTGATTTCCTGGCACTCTAATCACATAATTTAATAAATAATATTAGTTTTTTTCTGATGTATTTCATAATCAGACTGACAACATGAAATTTGTGATTCCTCACTGCTTGGGGTATCAGATATATTTATCCCATAATACATGAAGAAATCAATACACTCAACTCTCAATTATCCGGGATAGTGGTGGGGATGGAAATCACGATTAATCGAAAACCCGGTTAAGACAAATTTTATTAAAATTAGTACTGTAATACTGTACCTTCATAATACTATAGGCCTACCTGTATTTAAATTTATTCAACCTCATTTTTATGTCATCTCATGGCCTATTTAATACTTTTCTTTTTACATTACACTGAAGTATGAATTAGTTATTTAAATCACAGTGTTCAACAACATCCAACACTTTTTACGAATATTCACACTTAACACACTGTCGTTTGCTTTTTCGCGGCATTTTCCTTTTTACGGATATCCGTACGAAGGCTACGTAATATTAGCTTGTCACTTAATAAACTGTTCTCTTCACTCTCAAGATCACTCAAGATAGTCTAGTAAGGATTCCAAATGATTAAGAGCAGCACCGTGTGATATTTTCTTACTAGCAGCACCATCCACCTCTTCCTCATTCTCCCTTTTTTTTCCCGCTCTTCTGGCTGAACCCCCACTGAACTTGATTTCGTCACCGCTTAACATTTCGAAGCCCGGCTCACACGAGTTTCTGTTGAATAATTAACACAACACGCTTCCTTTCACACCCTGACATTTTGCTAACACACTTGAAGATCGATACAAAGAGACTAACTGGATCGGTGTATCTGTCCTTGAAACTTTCCACAAATCCTTGCATTCTTTCACCTCTACCCTAGAACATTTTGTTAGCATAACGGAACCAAAAAATGCAGAGCTCGGTTCACACTAGTGCGAAAATAGTGGTACAACTCACCATGTGAAACAAAAGTGAATGAAAATTAAACAACATATAAACCTCAAAAAAGCCCCGGTAGTCCCGGTTAAGCCGCAAACCGGTTTATCCGCCCCCGGATAATCGAGAGTTGAGTGTATGTGCAAGGGGAAACAAAATATGTTCTCATACAAACACTTTAGAACAATTTTTCACATCAGACTAGTGAGCATGTCAGAATTTAGCTAGATGCATAAGCAGCATGTGTGACAACATTAATAAAAAATATGCTGTAATATAAAAGTCATCCATTTGGACCAATATAAAAACCTGTTTTGAAATAAAATAATCACCAATCATAATTAATAATTCCTTCAGAATCTGAAATTACTGTAGTAGTGACAGAACTGCTTTAGCTTCTTTGTTACCTTTACAATTGTCCCCAAACTGTAATCTGATAATTTCCTGCATCAAAGTCATATCAGAAGCATATCATCTTTTCTAACTTAAAAAATCTTTAACATATTGTTAGAAATCCAGACTATTCAGTGAATTAGTAGATATGTTTCTAGTGAACCACTGTTCATTAAACGAGATAAGTAGTTGTGTAAGTCATGAATTCAGATCCTGGTTATTTTTAATAAATAGTAGAATAAGCACATTAAACTGAGATTCATAAGTTGCTGACATGCATATTGAAGAATAAGGCAATTATATAATTGCCTTAGCTTCTGGTCTATGCTGATGATATAAATTTGTTGGGTAAAAAATACTGTAACCAAAACTTCAGAAACTCTACTAAGCAGGGCAGTCTAGAAGTAAACACAAAGAAAGATAAGTAATGTTCATGTCTCATCAACAGAACAAGGGACAAAATCATAATATTGTCACGTGTATTAGTGACTAATAATGCAGGCTTGGATTAGCAAATCGATTTACTGGATATTCACGAGTTGTAATTACAATTAATTATAACACTACTGCTGATTTACACAATTTATAATCACTCCACACTAATCTCCTCAGTCTCTTTTCCCCTAGCCTTCATTATCTGTTTCCTGGCAATGGATTTATAACACAGGAACTATAAAGTCTCACTAAATTACACATTCCCAATATCGATGTACTATAGAACATGTAACGTCACACACTAAGTTTTTTAATTCTTCTTCTGGCCACCCTGCTGTTCCCTTGGAATCTCAGTACTCAAGTGAAATGAAGTCAAAGTCAAAGTTACATTGAGACTGATGGTCAGTCAGTAAGTCTTGGTGTTGAGCCCCATCTGGGGCTCATGACCAGATATTAATTATTACTGTTTGACAGTTACAGTCTTATTTTTATGGGGCACCCTCTCTGATGAGAGGACAGGTCTGTCTTTTGCACATGCTACTGGTAGTTGCCAGCACGGTCTTTCTCGGGTCCGAGTCCCTTGGGACTCATGACCATATTTTACTATCTCAGATTTGAGACGTCCCTTTTCGTCGCCTCCTACGAGTTGCAGGGTCACGGTGGAGTTATTCGACCCTGCCTCCACATGGGGGGTGAAAATGGGAAATGAAGTCCCATTCCCATATTCTCTTATATCCCCTTGGCATGGACCACGCACAGAAAACACACCCCGTTTATTGTTGTGTGGTGTAGACCACACAGAAAACACCTTCCCTTTACTGTTGCGTGATGTCAACATGCACATGTTAACGTGTTTACTGAGCTGTTGCCTGGCAATGTGCCACAGTATAAAGCCAGACAATAAATTCTCTGATAATGAATAGTGTTCAATATTTGGGAGTGACAGTGCCAAAACAAAATTAGCTGAGTACAGCTGGGCAAAACTTGTTACCATTCAGTTCACAGTCTTTTGCCTTGGGCTTATCATATCTAAGAACACAAAGATTAAAGTATGAGCCATGTTTTTAGACCTGGCCTCCAGGCTGAACATAAGGAGAACAGAGAAGTAAGATATATGGGAAGGCAGTGGTTGCAGTGTATCATGGGAGAGAGGGTGACACACTGCAGTGAAGGCCCCCCAACTAACACATAAATACCCTAATTCTTATCTTAGTTACTGAACTCCCTCAAATCCATTATGCAGTCTATTGAGAATGACCAGGTGTAAAAAAGCACACAATGGAAAATTAAATTAAAATTTTAAGTCATTTCATTAGGGAGTGAAATGTAGTCTCTCAGCTCAAGAAAAAATAAAGATCAAGGGAATTTCATAACAAAATACTGAGAATAATGAGAAATTATGAGAGAGGAAATAACAGGAAATCGGAGAAAACTGCATTATGAAAAGTTTAATAATTTGTGCTCATCGCCAAATATGATTATGGTCACCAAATCAAGGAGGGGATTGGTAGCACATGCAATATGCAAGGGGAAGGTGAGAAACATATACAAAATTTTAATCAAAACACTTGACAGGATATGTGGATGGAAGGATAATATTGTAGCAACTACCAGTTTATGAAGCAGATACTGTCCCACCATTTGCAGCAACTTATGCTCTTGGGATTAGTTCTTTGTTTAGTCGTTACCTTACAGCAACACCACTGCTCACTCACTACACTCACCTCTTCTTTCAACTTCTCTGTGTTGCTCTGAACTGAGAGCCAATGATTATTTACTTGCTCACTGACAAACTGAACAGTGAGTGACTTGCTGATGCACTGCCTCACTGATTAACTACTCTCCCTACTGACTCACTTGCACTACACTGTGCTGAATTGTTTTATCTTTTATAATATTGTTAGTGTGATGGACCAGAATGAAACAAATCAAGTTCCCAGAATGTTCCACATGAGATAGTCCTGATACCTCAACTGACTAAGAGGTGTACACAAGCCAGGTGATGCCATCCCCATGATGATATCAATATGGATACAAATAATATACGGTGCGAGGTTACAAACTGCATTCATCTGGCTCAGCAGTGGGTCCCAGCAGTGGGCTCTTGTAAAAATAGTAATAATCTTTGGGTTTTATGAAAGTGGACGATTTCATTATTTGTTCAGTGATGTTTAGCTTTTTGAGGAGCATTCTGCTGCATAAAGTCAGTTAATGATAGCACTATGGTTTGTAGAATTCTTACATCTGATCCTGGTTTGGAAGTTGAAACTGCAGTCACAACTCCTGCCCTGTTGCAGAGCGTGGAAAGTTCAATAATGTAACACAGCAGTTCTTTCAATTTGTCACTAGCAGCACACTGCACAGATGTTGGCATGTGATGAAGATATGCCTGTATAACAGTCAAAAGTGTAAGTTATACTTGTGTCAAGGTTTAAAAAACNGGCATGTGATGAAGATATGCCTGTATAACAGTCAAAAGTGTAAGTTCAAAAACTTGCTCACAGTTATACTTGTGTCAAGGTTTAAAAAAAATTTCATAATTCAAAATACTTGTAACTTTTTAAACATAATTCAGATCACCATATTTTAAAGTTGTTCTTAATTATATTCTAAAATTATACTTAAGCTTTAATCACCTGCAGGCCTTGAAGAGCTGAGTGATGAGCTACAACAAGATTTTGACACACTGATTGGTGAAGTGTGTGCCATACTCTGGACAGTGACACATATTCTCTGATTTGTTTCTTGAGCTCACATACCTGAAAAATGTTACATGCCCTAAACAACTATCTTCATTTCATAAAGCAGGAAAAGGTATGTTGGTTATATGGTATGAATCAGATGCATTTTGTATCACTAATTACCTGTATACACACATGTGAAGCTAGCAATGGCTTGAAACAAAGCTTAATACATTTTCATTAATATGTTTCAGTCTTTGTTTAATTGACGATGATTTCAATTACTAAGAATATAAGGACATGGAATGAGATCAGAACCCATGATCTCCCAAACATGAAACAAGGAGGGATAACCTCACAACTGCATCATTTAATTCTGCTGATATGAAAAAGGTCACATATTTGTTTTTATTTAAACTGTTCAGTATTTTTTAACGCTAACTAACTTATCTTTACCATAAGTTTATTGTGGCAATGCTAAACTAGAAGAAAAATAAATTCTGAAGAAGTCTGTTATTATTCAGTTTAAAAACTATCATAAAAATCTACTTTTCATGTTACACAAAGTAATAATTCTTTCAGATTTTTGTATGGGTGTGAAATTTGGTCTCTTGCTTTGAGAGAAGAACATAAACCACATGAATTTCAAAACAAAATGCTCAAGAAAATATTTACACTGGAGAAGGGTNACTCTGCTCAAAATCCTAAATGATGATTTGATGATGTGTTTTTATCCTTGATGAGTATGGTTGTGATGGTTACTTTAGTAACTTGATTTTAAAGTAGTATTTTTAAAGTTGGTCGATTAAGCATAAAGGCAAATAAACTTGAAATTAACTTATTTATATTTAAAATAATCCAAAATTTGTGTACTTGTATTCTGTATTGTAGTTTTAATTAGAGTATGTCTCTGTTGACATAGGAACCCTTTAGGCCGTGGGCAAAGGATTCCCGAATGATTGTACTACATGATATGACTTATCCATGTGTTACTTTGTAACAGTTACGGATGTTAATAAAGATGATGATGATGATGAAGTGCATGAGCAATTTAGGATATTACATACTGACAAAAGTCGGTGATTTATATAGGTCACCGGGTATTGCTAGCATGGTGAAATCTGCAGGGCCAGGCTCAGCATGTAGCTATGGTATGGGAGACCAGGAGTTCATTATAATTTTTGGAAAACCATTTGGAAAAGTCCATTTCAAAGACCAAGGAAATGGAAGGAATCTATTAATATACATCTTAGAGAAACAGGTTGTAAGGATCATGTCCAGACACAGTCTTAATACTGAGAGTAGTGTACCTTTGCACTTTCCTATCACAATGTTAATTAGCTATGGCGTTTGGGATATTTTTTTTATTTCATTAAATAGCAGGTGAATAAAATTTGTTGAGTCATGGTTATAATGATTTTGCTAAACAGAGACAAACATATATCATATAAACATGCCCTTCCTTGCATCATATCCAATAAACCTCTGAAGGTATTATTCTCCAAGGGCACCACATAATTTGCAAACACTATAAATATACCTACTTGTTGTCTAAGCTGATAGAGATAATTCCTGGAGAGGCGAGAAGAAAATTCAGCTGCCCTCTTACATCGTCTCAGCAAGTCTTGACTGCCATCCGGTTCAGGAATCTTGTCATAGAGGTTGACTATGCCATCAAATGCTGCATCCATCTTTTTCCATATAATTCTCATTCTTTGTGAATGAATACTTTCTTTATTCATTCCATGAAAGCTCAATTTGGGAATGACTGGAGGCAGGACATGATATAATTCTTTTTCAAATACACAATGTTCCTGGGAAGATTCCAGGAGGTCTGATTTGTAACTTATGTTCACCTCAACTGGCCTTTGTTCATGAATACCTTCAATATCATTCAGCATACAGTACTGGCTGTCTGGTGAACATAAAGTTTCCTCCTCAGTAGTTTCAGATGATACATTACTTCTGTGCTTAAAAAATGTAGGCTCTGATAAGACCTTTGCCATTTGTATATGTTCTTTGTTGGTCTTCTGTACAACTGAAACATTACCATCTATATCATGCATGCATTTTTTTCCTAAATCTGAGATGTCCAACACTGTTCCCCTGCATCCTTCTGTAACAGATTCATTTGAAACTGCATCATACTTTTGGCAATCATCTTGCATATGTTCAGACCCTGGCACACTCAAATCTGTAATGTAATATTTCTGAAGATCATTCTGTGCTGATGTACTTAAAGCTGATGGCATTAGAGATTCAGACTCATCATTCTCTGCATTCCACTTGAATTTCTTTCTCCTTTTAGTTAACAGTTTTAACCATGCTTTATCCTCCTGTTCCTTTTTCTTATTTCTTTTAACACATTTAACAATTCTTGCAAATTTCTCTTCTTGAACATGCTGCAAGTTATCATATTAAAATATACTCGATTAAACATACAACATAACACACAGAATAGCAAACTGATCCACTGACACAAATGGATTTTATTTTACCCAGAATTCCTACATATCATCACCTGAATTCAAAATAATTCTTCCCAGTTAACAATAAATTTCTGTATAGGTACCCTGTTATCCAAATGTATGTTAATTGACTTTTATCTAGTGATGCTGACATGATCTGAATCACTGTCATGCAGGCACAGTAATGTTCTCTGGCAATGTCAGTTCATTATTTTTTCAAAAGCAGGTATAGTACTTATCGAATGCTGCAATCATCTTAGTGAATGAAGACTACAATGGAATACAATATGGCTACAATATGGAATGTATTGCTGTACAGTAGTTTTGTTGTATTGAATATTTAAATTTTGACGATGATGACTATCTGATTATGTATGTATATTTATATGCTATATTGTATTATTGACTTGTTCTATATCTGAGGCAGATGCCTCTATGGATTTTTTTGGAACTATAAATAAATGAATGAATGAATACAATAATTTTATTGTTTTTATTAAAATTCAAATGTATAGAACAGTGTGAGTCCTCAAAAATGCATATTTTGTTGTTAATGAATGTGTGCTGTTTATTACAGTATCACATACTTCTTATTTATTTACTACTGGAGCTCTGACATGTCTCCAGTTTGTATGTTGTTGCCTTTAAGAATATCAAAATTAACACTGCTACGGTTTATACAGCTTCTTAAATTGAAAAGATATGCCTTATCTACAGTGCGTACAATCAAGTGCGCGCCGCGGCTGCAATTTGCCGTGAGTCATACCACCGCAGAACGGATGC